CTGCCTCAATGGACTCTAAGTTCCTTGGGGCAGGGAGTCATGATTCAATTAACATTCTTTGAGTGACTGCTCTGTCGGGCACAGTTCTAGGTACTTAGGACACATCAGCCAGCAAATCCATCAAAGGTCCCAGCCTTCCTAGAACTCAAGTTCTAATGGGAGAAGAAGACACAGGACAATAAACAAAACAATAAGCAAATTGTATAATATATTAGAAAGTGCCAGGATCTGAGGAAATAATAAAAAGTAGATCAGATGAGGGGGGTCGTGAGTGCCGCAAATGGGAAGGGGAGGGCATCAGGATCAACTAGTGTGACCCAGGTAGGCCTCATTGAGCAGGTGACATTTCAGCCAATTTGAAGGGGATGAGAGAGTTATTCACACAGTAGGGCTAGCACACAGTAGGGCTGCTGAACATGTGTGAGGATAGAGGAAGAAGCTCATATGTCTCTTAGCTTCTGGGGAAAAGATGACAAGTTCTAGTTGAGATACATTGAGTTTGAAGCTAGACAGAGCTGCAGGTCTCAGGTCAAGGCCCCTGTGAATGTCCCTGATTTTGTGTCCTTCTCCCAAAGGCTCAGGTGATGTTGGAGCTGAAGGCTCGTGTGGAAGAATTAAAAATGGAGAATGAATATCAGCTTCGACTAAAGGATATGAACTATTCTGAGAAGATTAAGGAGCTAACAGACAAGTTCATCCAGGAAATGGAGTCCTTGAAAACAAAAAACCAGGTCTGTATGGGAGACTGAACCAACCACCACAAATAATAAGAGATTTCCAGGGAAATCTCAAGATGGGACTGGCATATACTGCCCAAGCTGTGCTCGAACAATAAGATACATGATAATGTGCAATTTTAAAGCATGGTTGATGAAATCAGAAATGCCTACAATAAATGCTAAGTGAAGAAAAGCAAAATATAAAACTATAGTAAATGGCATTAACTAGGTAAAATAAATACATATAGAAAACAGAAAATAGATAACAGTATAATTATCTCTGGAAATTGGGATTATAGATCATTTTAATTCTGTTCTTCACACTTTTTTGTAATTTCTGAATTCTCTACCGTGAGAATATATTACCTTTATGATGAGGAGAAACTTATTAAAAACAACATGAAAAGAAAACAAGCAAAACAAAGTAAGGAAAGGGAAGAGCTAGCAGGATCTTGATCCCTGGATTGTTAGGAAGTTAAATAAAATTAGTCTCAATGGCCTTTATGTGGTTGGATTTGGTCCAGGACTATCCCAGACTCTTTCCTTTATTTTACACAAATGTGTCTGGGCCCTCATCCAAAACCCCCAGTTTTTTGCTAAAGGGATATTGGTTCTTTTATGTTATCCCTGTGGGTTAGAGAGTTTGGCTGAAAAACCCTGGGCTATTTAATTTAATTTATTTAATTTTATTAATTCATTCATGTATAATTTCATTCATTTGGTCAACAAGCCTTTATTTAGTGCCCTACATAAGCCAAGCACAAAGTTAGGTCCTGAGAATGGTACCTCCCCAGCCTGAAAGGAGCTTTCCTGCCCAGTTAAAAAAAACACTAAGAAGCTTACGCATGAACACACCCGAGGATTTAGTTGATAGCAACGTGTGGGCAGCAGAAGATTCAAATGAATGCCTACTTTTTCACCCAAAAACCCATCTGACACATGTTCAAAAGTGAACTTATCACTGACAAACCCATTTAGTAGTGAGGAAATACATAGGGAAAGTATAGAACTTTCAGAGCAGAATATATTGCAAATAAAAAGTGATAGTGTGGTTGTGGCTCCATAGAACAGTGCTTGGTGCAAAATAAGGACTTGAGAAATGAGAGTGAAGGAGGACGTTACAGGTAAAGTTAGTTCTTGCCCTAATAGTGCTTTCAGCACACATGTGGAAATGAGCAATGTGACTCCTGTTTTAGGTTTTAAGAACAGAAAAAGAAAAGCAGGATGTATTACATCATAAGCACATAGAAGACCTCCTAGGGAAACAGAGCCAGGAACTGCAAGACCTGGGTAAGCCACATGGGCAGAGGGTGGCTGGTCGGGGTTGGAAGAGGTGGGTTAGGGGCAAACATCTAAGAGTCCCCCAGACACAGCAGACGTCCCAGGGGAGATGGCTTTGTCTACGAACAGGCACCATTTATCCCCTGCAACTCACCGTGGCTTTTACTTCTGTGCGTTGACTCACTTATTCAACACGTACTAAACACCTACTAATGCCAGTGGGAGATATGAAGGAGTTCAGGTTTGGAGCCTGGTAGACGGCCTTGGGTCCCAGACTTACCCCTAAGTTGCTGGGTGCTCTAGGGAGTCACCTACCTTTACAGAGCCTCAGTTTACTCTTCTGTGATATTGGGGCATGAATAACTATTTTGCACACTCAAGACATTCTTCTTGGCCCTTAACCCCCAAACACCCCCTCTGCCCCTTCCTAGAAACCTTTCTGCCTAGAAGGGCAGGGGAGGGGTTTTGCCTGATGGGACGATGGGGTAGGGACAGCTGAGGGAGCCAGGCAGGCATTTGAATCTTGGATCTGGAGGCTAGTGCTGGAAGGGGTGGACAAGCACCCAAGGCTCCTGGGTGTCCCCAAGGTTGGTGCTACTCTCCCACCTGAAATACCCTCTTTGCTTCTCTCCAGAATGTTGCAACAACCAGAAGCTGCTTCTAGAATATGAGAAGTACCAGGAGTTACAGCTCAAGTCCCAGAGGATGCAGGAGGAATATGAAAAACAGCTTCGGGATAACGATGAGACCAAGAGCCAGGCCCTGGAGGAGCTGACTGAGTTTTATGAGGCCAAACTGCAGGAGAAAACCACTCTTCTGGAGGAGGTACTCACAGGAAGCCAGGCTCTTCCTCCCTTTACAGAGGAAGGGCAGGATTGACTGGATTAAAGAGAGGGATGGAAGAATTAAAGATTCACTCATTCATTCAAATGTTTATTGAGTTGCTACTGTGTGCCAGTATGTGTTGTACACTGGAAATTCAACGGTGGGCCTGATAGGGTTTCTAGCCTCAGGGGACGTACATCTCATGGGAGAGATTACCAAGTAACTTCACAAATAAGTATAAAATTACAACTGTCACAGGTTCCGTGAAGGGAAAATATAGGAATCCTGGGTGTCCGTGTGAAGACCAGAGGCAGAACAGGATAGGGGGATGTTGGTAAGGGGATGGTTGAAATGACAGAGCCTGAGACCTGACCTGGTAGGAAAAGAAGGAGAGACAGGAAGACAGACAGAAGGACAGACAGGAACAAAGTGGACAGGTCAAGAGACCCAGGGCCTTGGTTCCATTTGTGTGATAACACTTGGTCCCCTGTGTCCTGTGATCAGGCTCTCAGGCTTCTCACCCCCAGCCCTCTTGCACAGAGCTGTCGTGAGGACCTTCAGCCCTGACCGCACGCTCCCCCTCTCAGGCACAGGAAGATGTCAGGCAGCAGCTGCGGGAGTTTGAAGAGACCAAGAAGCAGATTGAAGAAGATGAAGACAGAGAGATTCAAGATATCAAAACCAAGTATGAGAAAAAGCTTCGTGACGAAAAGGAATCAAACCTGAGGCTCAAAGGAGAAACAGGCATCATGAGGAAGAAGGTATTGGCTGTTGCCTGGGAGATGTGGGGGTGGCAGGCAGTACTGCAGAAGAAGCTGGGGGGGTGGACAGACAGCGCTGGGGGAGAGGACGCTGGCACCTGAGTGCCCTCATCACCAGCCGGCAGGTTAGGAAAGGAGGGCTGGCTGGTGCACCTTCAGGATGCGCACCGCACCCTCTGGCTTGCCCTTCCCTTTCCTTTTCACAGAGATGTCGAGGTTCCCTGTCCAGTGATAGATGCTCTCTGGGCTTTTGCTTATTGGCAAGTAGGGTTTAGTCAAAGTTTTCAGAGCTAAACCTCTGATGGAAATGGAAGGAAATAAGGTCTTCTGGGGATGAGCTAGATAAAGTCTTAGCCTGGAGGTGTCCTCAGGCTCTGGCACAGGAGTCGTGGGTGGCTCTTATTCAGACTCCTTGGGTATTCTGGGGGTGTAGGATGCTAAGTTTACAAGGAAGGCAGATATTTTTAGTTCACTGATGGTTGGGATGAGAGAGAATTCAATTCTCAGATCCTCATAGAATTGCCACAGTTTCCCCAAAATGTTTAGCCATAAGGAAGCCAAGTTCAAAGCAAGCTCACTCTAATAGAAAGGAACTTCCTATTGGAAATCACACTACAAGTAAATCCAGGGGACAATCGTATCTTCCCTTCCTGGACATGGCTAAGGTGGCTCAGTCAGTTAGGACCCAATCTCTGTGACCTTAATGGGGCCTGGATTCCAAACTTGCAAGGGCAGTGTGGTCCTGAAGACTTTGGGTCCACTTAGGGAGCTGGTCTCTGGAGCCTCTTGATGCAGAGACAGTTCATCCTCACATACAGGGATGAGTCTGGATGTTGTTGGAAAGAATAACACATCCTCCATTTGGCCTGGAAAATTCCTGAATTGTCCCAATTCACCAATAATTCACTCGCGAAAGCCCAGAAATGATGAGTGCTGGGTGTTTTCAGTTCACAAAGGTGGGGCAGTTCGGACACAGTTGGTCAGTGATGCGAGGAATGGGGTGAGTTCGGGAACTTTAGTGGTCTTGCGAAAGCCCAGAAATGATGAGTGCTGGGTGTTTTCAGTTCACAAAGGTGGGGCGGTTCGGACACAGTTGGTCAGTGATGCGAGGAATGGGGTGAGTTCGGGAACTTTAGTGGTCTTTGTTGTTGCCATTTGTGACTTTAGTTCAGCAGCCTGCAGAAGGAGATTGAAGAGCGAACCAATGACATTGAGTCCCTGAAGGGAGAGCAGGCGAAGCTGCAAGGGGTCATTAAGTCCCTGGAGAAGGACATCCAAGGTCTCAAGCAGGAGATCCAGGAAAGAGATGAGACAATTCAAGATAAGGTGAAGGCTCATTTTCTGTCCTCCCTCAACTGCAGCCTAGATGGACCCCGGGTGAGGACGGAGCTCAGCAGAGAGAGGGTCCCTGGCTTCTCGGAACACATTCATTTAACTCAATAGGGAATGAGGGGTCAGTGAAGTGCCTCCTGTGTGCTTGGGACTGGACTAATTGCTGTCAACACATAAATTCAATTCTCTCAGCAACCCAGTGGGCAAGAACAACCCAGTGTAATAGCTCGGGAAATTATTCCAGGAGGTCGAGCATCTTGGTCACACAGTTTATAGGTGACAGACCTGCAATAAGAACCTGAGTCAGCCAACTCCACTACTCCAGGCATCCTCCACTGACACGTCCCCATGGACTGGGGGTAGCTCACCTGATGCATTGCCCATGCAGTCCCCCTGCTAAGGGAGAGACTTCCCTGGGGTTGTCCTTGTAACTGCTGGGTACCCTAGCAAGCTGGTACCACTTTTCAGGATGCCTTTCTTGCAAAACACTCAGAAGACAGACACATCCCATTCTGTAGGGTGCACCGTCTCAATATCCAGAACTTAGTCTCATTCTCCTGAGCAAATGCAGACTCCACGGCCTCCTCTGCATCCACTCAGCTGCCACCGCCTTAGTCAGGTGGAATTCTCCAGGGCTGAGACGTGGGCTTCGGTGTTTGATAAGTAGATTCCAGCACAGCCTCTTTCATTTACTGCCATTTACCATGGCACCTTCAGCAACTTCTCTAAGGCTTCATTTTCTCACGTGTAAATGAAGATGATTACTCTCTCCAGGAGCCCTGAAAGGATTAAGTGGGATAGTGCTTAGATGTCATTTCTGCATATGAGTGTTCATGTATGTATCTGGGCGGGGTTTTTTTAGGGATCCGAAGGTCTCCTCGGATTCTCAAAGGGGGGATTTCACAAGAAAGAGATTAAGGACTCCTAACCTAGAAATTTGCAACAGCCTCCTAACTGGTCTATCGACATTCCTTCTCACCTCCCACCCCTTTCCCCACCACTATCCCCTGACAAAATGCAAGTGTAATTATGTCACTCTGCCACCTACAATCCTTTAGTAGCACCCCGTTGCCTACAGCAGCTATCTAGACCTTTACAGCAAACTTTTTCTGTAAAGAGCTATATAGTAAACATCATTGGCTGTATGGTCTCTATCTCAGCTGATCAACTCTGCTGCTGTAGTGTGAAACCACGCATAAACAAAACAGAAATGAATGAACTTGGCTATGCTCCAATAAAACTTTACAAAAATTGGTAGCGGGCCACATTTGGCCCACAGGCTGTAGTTTGCCGACTCCTGGCCTATGAGATAAATTCTGGACTCTTTAACCTAATGTGCAGGACCCTCACTTTCCTCCCCTATTTCTCCCAGCCTCATTTCTCACTTCCCCGGGAACCACACTTGACACTCGAGCAAATTTTTCTCAGCACCCTCAGTACATCCTATGCCTTCTGTGCCTTCCTCTTTCACAACACTTATCACATTAAAGCGTTGTAATTGTTTGCATATCTGCTTTCCCAGCTAGTGTTTTCTCAAGGGCAGGGACTCTGCTGTTATTTATATTTGGAATCCCAAAACATGGCAAAAGATTTTCATTCAGGAAATGTTTGATGGATGGACAGACCTACCTTCCAATTCCTATTGCCATGCAATGAGTTACCCTAAAACTTAGTGATAAAAACAATAATAGTTTTATTATGCTCCCAGATTCTGTGAGTCTGGAATTTTAACAGGGCACAATGGGATGGCTTGTCTCTGCCTTGAATGTGGGGCATCTGCTGGGAACACTGGAGGTGACTCAAACAGCTGGAGGCTGGAAGGTCAACATCCATATTGGCTCTTCATTTACATGTCCAGCACTTTAGCAGGGATGGCAGGGAGCCCGGGCTCAGCTGGGTCTTTCACCCAGAGTCCCTTTATGTGCTCTCCAGCCTGGAGGTCTCAGTGCAGTCAGACTTCTACATAGCAGATAACCTCCCCCAGAGCAAAGGCCCCAAGAGAGCCAGGTGGGAAACCTGGCCTTTTCTTACCTGGCCTTGGAAGCCACACAGCATCCCTTTAGCTGATTCATTGGGGTACAAGCCAGTCATAAGTCCAGACAGATGCAAGAGGAGAGATCTAGACACTAGCTCTTAATGGAGAAGCAGCGAGGTCACGTTGTAGAAGAGACAGTGTGGGATGGGACATGCTGCTGAGGCCGTCTTTGGAGAATCCAGCCAGCCATGGCCTGTACGGGAATCAGTGAGTGAATGAATGAGAGTCTTGGTACAAGGAGCCAGTGCCGCAGCCTGCAGGAGAGTCAGCCTTTGTGTCCCCAGTGAGGAGGGAAGTCTGTGGCTGCCTCAGTCAGGATTTATGTCCTTTGCCTTAAAGGGACTCCATATACCAGGGCCTTGTGCTGTCTCTCACTTCTCTCTCATCTCACCCCCAGGAGAAGCGGATTTATGATCTGAAAAAGAAAAATCAAGAACTAGAGAAATTCAAGTTTGTGCTCAACTACAAAATAAAGGAGCTGAAGAAGCAAATAGAACCTCGAGAGGATGAGATCAAAGTGATGAAGGAACAGATTCAGGAGGTGAGAAACCGTCGGCAGCACCCTGGCCTCTCAGACCCTCTGTCTCTGCCTCCCCTGTTCCCAGCTGGCCTGGGGAAAATGAAAGCTCTCCTCTCAGCCCTTCTCTTCTCCCGAGGTGTGTGCAGCCTCCACGCCTCAGATGATGCCACAAGGGAGGCCGTAGCTCAGCTGGGGTCTCGGTTGTCCAAAAGCGAAATGCTTTGGGATTTAACTTGCCATGGTGCTCTGGAGAATGGGCTTTGGCTCTACCAGCGCCTCCATGTGCTGCTCTGAGCCCTGGAAAGGGAGAGCAGGTGTTGGGCCATCAGCCACCAGAGGGCAGTGTGTACTCAGCAAACAGGCCGTGTTCCCAGAAAGCAACCCCTCTGGTTCAACACTTTCTCTCAAACTGGAAATGCTGGTTGGGGCCCCAGGAGAGAGGCCATGGTGTTTGAACTTCATCTGATACGGAATGAGAAGTCATCCAGGGCTCTTGAGCAGGACAGCGGCATAATTAGGCATATGTTCTGGGAAGCAAACAGGACGAAGGCAGAGAGGAGAGAGATTAGAAGTGAGATCAACTGGACAAGGGTCTCTGAGGGTCCACTGAGGCACAAGTGTTCCCTGTGTACCCCTGTCAGCCTTCCCCACTGGGCAGAAAGCAGCTAACTGTGGGACCATGGATGACCTATAACTGAATTCTTGATTTTCCCCCAACTTCCCCCCAAAATTCTTGATTTTTTCCCTCCTCTTCCTCCAGTTTCTCATTTCTCAGTAAATGGTACCATGGTTGACACGTAAGGTAGAAATTAGAAGTCTTTCCTGATTCTTCCCTTCCCTTAACTCCTGTATCCAAATCATCAGCAATACGTACCAGATCAATTCCCAAAAGATATCACAAATCCAATCATCCTTCCCCACTGCTGCTGTCACCCAGTCCAAGCCTCCACCATCTCTTATCTCGACGTGACTCCAGCTGCCAGTCAGACTCCACATGGAGGCCAGAGTGAATGCCCCAGTGGTGTCCCATCCCACCTAGCGTACAATCCAGAGCCCACAAGGCCCTGCATGATCCATCCAGCCCCTATTACCTCGCCAGCCTCATCTCGAGGCTCCCTCCCCCACTTCAGCCCACTGGCTTTCTGACAGTTTAGTTCGTACAAGCCAGCTTTTCCATCTCAGGACCTGCAGTGCTGCTCCCTCTGCCTGGAAGTCCCTGTCCCCCAGATGGTCACATGACTGGCTTCTTTCATCTTTCAGGCCTCGACTTACATGTCACCTGTTCAAGGAAGGTGTCCCTGACCACCCTAGACAAAATAGGCTCCTGGCCCACCACCCACCCCACCCCCATTTTCTCTAATGAATTGTCTGAGCAAGGATAACAAGGGTGTCGGAGAGCACTGATGACTTAGCCAGAAGCACAAGAGCTATGGTCATGCTGGTCGGCCCAGTGAAGCCTTTTCTCTAGGAGGCCCAGTAAAGAAGCCAGGTAGAGATCCGTCCAGGGCTGGGGCATCCAGAGAGCGTATGTCCCTGTGGCAATGACTTTCTCCTTGGCTTCTGGGATGAAGAAAGATGCCCCCAACTGACCACAGAACTGCCTCCTCTGGGCTTTCTGCCATTCTTGAGTGACTTCAGGCTCAAAAATGGTAGCTTAGTCCATTCAGGCTGCTATGAAAAAATACCTGAGACGGGGTAATTTAATAAACAACAGAAATGTATTGCTCACAGTTCTGTTGGCTGTGAAGTCCAAGATCTAAGTGCCAATAGATTTGGTGTCTGGTGAGATGCCTGCTATGTGTCCTCACATGGCGGACGGACAGAGGGGGCTGAAAAGCTCCCTCAGGCCTCTTATCTAAGGGCACTAATCCCACGGATGAGGACAGCTCCCTCATGACCTAGTCACTTCCCAAAGGCCCTGTCTCCGGATACCATCACTGTGGGGGTTAGGTTTCAACATAAGAATTTTGGGAGTCACATAACATTCAGATCACAGCAGCAGCCCAAGAAGAAGAGAGAACGAGCAGAGGCCCCGCCTGCCTGGAAGGACAGCGTGCTGCTGGCCTCTGGAAAGCACTGCTCACCTCTCCTTCCTCCTCATTTGACGTGTCTGCCAGCTCTATTTAACATTGGATCAGCTGTTTTCTAAAGCTCAGTTTCCTTTCCACCCCAGCACACCTCAGGGATTATTTACTTTTCCTGACAGTAACGAGGCCAACTATGGCCTTGATGCTCAGCAGGGAATATGCCCACACCTTGGGAGCAATGCAAACAGGACCCCTCCCGCCTTCACCCTTGTGCCAGTTGCTGCCAGAGCTGATATTTGGGCCTGGTTCCTTCAAGAAGCCCACAACCTCGGGGCTTCTCTCTGGGGTCAGAGACACATTCAGCGCCCCCCTGTGGATGTCTTGTGAATTTCCTTTTCCTCCGGAAGGAAGCCTCGAGCTCATTTGCAGAGCTGAGACCTCTCATGACACTTCCCTCATTCAGGTACCTCCCCCTCACATATACTTTTCCAGCTTCTCTCTAGTGACTCAAGGGTCCCTCTGTTCTTCCTAGGGGATAGGTTTCCAGAATTTTGTCATTTTAGTTTACACTCATTTATTTATTCATCTAATGCAGGTTTCTCAACCTCAACAATATAAATGTTCGGGGGTAGATAATTCTCTGTTGTGGAGGGTCTGTCCCGTGCATTGTAGGATATTTAGCAGCGTCCTTGGTCTCTACCCATAGATGCCAGTAGCACCCCCTGCCCAAGGTGTTAAAACCAAAACTATCTCTAGTTGTTCTCAAATTGTCCCCAGGGAGCAAAATGTTTTCCACCCTCCCCTCCTTCCACTCCTCTGAGTGTGAAGAACAACATATGGAAAAATAGATGGAATTTCCACACTGGGAAAGGGACGCTTGTTCCCACATACTAGGCTAGTTTTCTGGCTGTCCAGCTAGCTACCCAAATTTGACATATTTCACAATTTTTCTATACAGATTATTTTTATTCACAGAATAGTTTAAGACTTTTCCTGCCCCCCCCCAAAAAAAAGAGCAGATGTAAAGAATATACTCCCATGTCTGTCTCTTCCATTCTAACCTAATCTGTCACTGCTGACCTCAGATTGTAGAGAAAGCAGCACCCTCAGCTGCAGGCACTTAGACGTGAACTTCAGGAACCCTGCAAATTGGAAAAGCCCCCTTTCTCTCTTCTAGCTGCCATTTCCTTGGTCTAGCACACTATCATCTCTTGCCCGGGCTGCAGCAGCAGCCTCCTGACTGGTCTACCTGGCTCCAGTCTTGCTATTTCCAGTAGAACCTCTGCCTCAGGCCCTCTGAGATGCAAATCAGATCATGCCATCCCTGGTAAAACCCTTCAGTGGCTCTCTGAGCTTTCAGGATAAAGGCCACACTTCTGACCATTGGAACCTCCACCTCTGAGTCCTGCATGAGCCAGCTCAGTTGGCCTCTTCAGCCCCTCCACTCTCCCCCTTCCTCAAATGCACCCTCCTGCAGCCACCCTGAACCACTGGAACCTGCAGAGATGCACCTGCCTGCCCACGCCTCTGGCCCTCTCTGTGTGCAGCCTGTTCTCTCTGCCCGGGATTCTCATAACTCTTTTGTCTTCTAATACTTATTCTTCCTACAAAACCCAGCTGAAGCACCCCTTCTTTGGGAGCCACCTGCTTACCTCCTATGTGTACACGCAGGGCACTTTCTACCTCTGTCACAGATGGTGTCTATCCTGTTCCACCTTAACTTCTTGCTTAATTCCTCCTAAATCCCTCTGCAACTGAGACTTCTTGAAGACAGAAACTACCTCTTAATCAGCCCTATATCCACAAGTCCACAACAGCTACGCAGCCCTTTCTAGTGGGCACATTCTTTCTTTAGCTGTGCAAATGCCCAACTTCTTGAAGACAGAAACTACCTCTTAATCAGCCCTATATCCACAAGCCCACAACAGCTACGCAGCCCTTTCTAGTGGGCACATTCTTTCTTTAGCTGTGCAAATGCCCACCCTTGCTGTGTGTCCTCTACAAGGTGACTCCATGTAGCTTTGCCAACACTACCTGTTTATCTTGTCATTCTTCCAGAGGCAGATTGTCCCAGGCCCTCCTCATGCCCCACTATTGCCCACCACACTTGCTGTTCATTTATTCCTTCATCAAATATTTAAGTGCCACCTTTATGCCAGGCGTGTGTCAAAGGGCTATTCTGTCTAATAAAATGCTTCCAGTAATGAAAAAAATATTCTAAAACCTGCCCTTTCATGTCCAGAACATGGATGTGGCTCACTGGGGCTTCCTGGTACCCCAGAAGGTTGCCAAGAGCCTTGAAATCTGACCAAGGGGCCTAGAGTAGACTAGGAGGGCTACTTCACCCAGCTGTGAAAAAACCCATCCCCCCAAAACTGTCCCAGCCCCCCAAACAGCAAATACTAGTGTCCACAGATTTAGTGAATCTAGATGGGAACTAGAAAAGAAATAGTCTAGAATCAGGGGAAATGCTCCCACCGAAAGACTTCAGTTCTCAATTACAATTTCATCCTCTTACTTTCTTGTCTTTGACTCTTTTTCCCTCGTTCTCTATAGATGGAATCTGAGCTGGAGCGTTTCCATAAGCAGAACACGAAACTGGAGCTGAACATCACGGAATTGTGGCAGAAATTAAGAGCCACGGATCAGGAGATGCTCCGAGAGATACAGAAGGTGTGAGGATTTTCAGAGTCTGGCAGCTCTTGGATCCCAAAGCTGGCACCTGTTTGCAGTGGGCAGCTGGCTTCTAAGAGACGGAGCCAGCCCATTGCTAAGATACATTTCCCATTTTAACTCACGTTCTTTACTTGCTCACAGCCCTGCCTAATTTCAGGCCCATGGAAATTTACATGACTGAATCTATCTGAGACTATAAAATGACTTTGGGTAAAGTGATCAAGGAGGTGGGAGGCCAGTTTCATAGAAACTTTCATAGCATTTGGTTTATTTGGCCTAGGGAAGAACATGCTTGGAGAGGTCATTTGTAGTCGGTGGTTAAAGGCTTTGACTACGAAAAAATTGCTAAGGCTAGGAGAACCTCAAAGATCATCTATTTCAGTCTCTTTATGTTATAAATACGGAAAGTAAGGCCAGAGAAATTAGGAGGTTAGGAAACTTCACCCAGCACCCATTGCTAGTCAGCACGTATGGATCCAGTACTGGAAACCAGGTCTTCTGGTGCTGGCACAGGACTGGGTTGCACCCTCTTCCCTGAGCACAGGCCACTCTACTGTTTGTTGAGTCGGATTGAATTTTTCCATCCTCCATGTTAAGCATTGACTCCGTACTAGGTAACACTAGAAGCTGCAGAGCTACAGACAAGAACTAGGGCAGATCCTGCCCTTCACAAGCTGAAGAGGCTGATAGGTGATTTGTGTAATAATTATAATGCAAGGTAGAAAGTGATGGAATGTGTATAAAGGGCTATGGGAACAAAGAGGAAGGAGCAACTCTCTAGGCCAGGGTCAGGAAGATGGGGTGTCCAAGAAAGCATGATCGAAGAGGGGGATCTAGCCCAAGTGTGCAGATGAACCAATCTGCCCAATTTTGTGACTTTTCCCCACCCATTCACAGCAGCACTCCTGACTGTCAGGAAGGACAAACACTGGATGCACTGATAAGGGGGACTTGGAAGCCCTGGCCAGGGATCTGCGAGAGAAATGATACCATCTGTCTTGGCCCTAAAGGAATATGGGCAATCATCCTTTCATTTTTTAAGGCCAATGGTCCTGAAAGGAATCCAGAGCCGATAAAGGAGCCCTCTGTGTGGCCTCTTAAGGATGAAGCCATGTAGGTTCAGGCCAGTCCAACCCAGGCAGGTGCACAGGAGTTTTAGTGCCTGCACCTTGGCCGTGTGTCCATCTAGGTCTCTGTGCCAGTGTGGCCCCTGGCAGTTAGCTGTAAGTCCCAGACAAGGTGTCCCTCATCCCTTTCTGTGCCATCAGCCTCTGCCTGCAGCCCCTGCCCCTCCTCCTGGAGAGCACCTACGTGTGTGAAGTAAATGTCTCTGATTGCAGAAGCGCAACCTGGAAGCGCTGGTCAGACGGTTTAAGACCGACCTTCACAACTGTGTGGCATACATCCAGGAGCCCCGGCTGCTGAAGGAGAAGATCCGAGGTCTCTTTGAGAAGTACGTGCAGCGGGCAGACATGGTGAGCTCAGCCTCCCCTCCCGCCCTGTCCTCCCCTGCGGGGTCTCCCCTCCCTTGCTGAGAGTGTCCGCGCCCGTCAGGTGGAGATCGCAGGGCTGAACACAGACCTGCAGCAGGAGTATGCCCGTCAGCGGGAGCATCTGGAGAGGAACCTGGCCACTCTCAAGAAGAAGGTGGTCAAGGAGGGAGAGCTGCACCGCACCGACTACGTCCGCATCATGCAGGTACCCGCACGCTCCCTGCAGCTCCCCTGGAGGCTGGGCCCTCTGAGATGAGAGAGGCTGTTGAGGCTGCTCAGGGCTCCCCAGAAGTCCAGGGTACCTGCCAGCTTTCCCTACAGCTTTCTCTTGGCTCCTCTGATCTCCCAGGGCTCATCCTCAATGTGAGCATGGCCAAGAGTCATGCCAAGCAAGTTTCCAGGCCTCTCTGTGCCCACCCTCTGTCCCACCAGTGCCCCTACCCTTCACCAGGCACCTCTGCTCCTTTTTTCCCACTCCGTCTTTATCCAAAGCATGCCTGTGTCCTGCCTCTCTCCTCTCAGTGACCCCTGGTCCCTCTGGACCTTCCTCCATGTCATTTTGGCTCTTCTGAGTCGCTCTCTCCCATCTGCTCTCCTGGGTCTACCTCCTATTCCACCTTGCTTTGTACACTGCTTTTTATCCTGCTGTGCACGTCACATGGCCCTGCCAGAACACACGTCTCCACCTGCCATCTGACTTTTCTGGTGCCTCGGGTCTCTACCCTTATCTCTTGGGTCCAGAGCTAGCCACACCAGCCCGGTGTTGGCCTCCCTCTGACTTAATGAGCTCTTTGCGCCCACCTCCCAGGCTCCTTCGCAGGGCTGTTAGAGAGCCTGACCCCATTACTGCCACCTCCGCCTGAGCATGATCAGGACTGCCAGTTGGGATTCCTCTTCCAGATTTCTGCTTGGGTGTCAGTATCATCTGTGGCAATTAATGTGAATTAAAGAGAACATCAGAATCACACTTAGAAGCACATACCTCCTTATGTTTACATTTCTTTAATGCCATAATTAAAATACTGGAATGGGGAGGGGTTGCAGTTGGATTTTAACGAACCAGTTCCCAGCTTGGCCTGTCCGTGCTCACCTGGGCAGAACACACTGCAATCCGGCCAGACCCAGACCTGGCTGGTTTCATGCCATCTTACAACCAGCCCCTGCCTAAATGCAGCCCCTCCCGCCAAAACATTGCCCTACTCCTGGGTCCCAAAAGCAGGCGGAGGCCCAGAGATAGGAGTGGGTCCAACTGGTGGGACCCAGCAGCCACACACAGAGCCATTGCTAAGGGCCTCGAGTGCCTGGAGTGTGCAGAGCCCCCTGGGGCTGTAGAGTGCAGCAAGTGGGGCAGTGGGACCAGGGTGACAGCAGGAGCAGATGTCAGCTGGTGACATCAGCGATCTCTCAGCTGTGCCCTGCCAGCAGGACACAGACCGGAGGAGCCCTCCAGGGCTGTGTCCCTCTCTCCATGCCAAGCAGATGCCCAAAGCAAATGTCAGTTTGGAGACATTTGAGAAGGAGGAGAAGGAAAAAGGTGAAGACCATGGCTAGCCAGAAGGTGCAAGTGTCACTGAGCAAGAGGCTGTAAGGCAGGCATCGTGTCTTCTTTTGCTCCTCCATACCCCAGAGGGTGCTGGGCCAGCTCCTGCCCAGTCCCACCCCTCAGGAGGGAAGTCTCCGGAAGAGCGTTGTCTCCAGCAGCATTGTAAACCTGTGTGCTGTGGAGTCCTGTGGACCCAGAGAAATGACTCAGACAAGTGCAGGGGACAAGAAGAGGGCCCCAGCAGGGCACTGGGTCCTCCCCCAACCAGAGAGGCTCCCTTCTGATGACCATGGGGCTCTGTAAAATTTTGTTTGCAAAAAGTTTGGAAGATTAAAAAAGAGAGAGAGAGAGAGAAACTTTCAAAATCACTGTTCTGGTTGCTAAAAATTGTTCCTTCTTCAATCTTAAAGTTGTAGGAGGGGCTGGGCCAGGGCCAGGCAAGATAGCAGGGCCTGTGTAGGCATGTCTGGACTCAGAACCATGTCCCTACCCTGGGTGGGGGGAGGATAGTAGGCGCTGGCACTGTGCAGACCCAGGTTTATCCTGCTGCCAGGAGACCTCAGTTAAATTCCTTAACTTCTCCAGGAGCTGCCCTCCTTATCTGTAAAATGGGGAAGAAAACACCAACCTCAGCGAGTCACTGCAAGGGTCAAATGAGATAACCAGTGTAAAACACAGTACAAAATAGCGTGGTACAGAAGAGGTGCTCAAAACAATGCTTTTTCCCTTCCCCTCCTCCAAGCAAAGAACCTATTCAGTACCCAAGGTGGAAATCCAGTGGGAGAGGCAGAAGCCCATCACAGCATGGGCCAGACGTGCCCGTGGACTGGGGCATGGGGAGGGGCCAGCAAAATTGCTTCCAGGCCCCCAGCTGGTGGCCTGGGCTCCCGCTGTCTTGGTATATGTTGTCAGGAGCTAGCTGGAGCTGCGTCTGTGGGTACCAGGGCCCCGGCACTTCAATCCAAAAAGGCCAGGGTGGACTCTAATGAGAGCAACTCATCGGAAAATAACTGAGGAAATGAGGTCACTGTCTCATTTGTATGTTCAGGTAGGAGCTGAGGGCCTCCCCACTGCATTCCTCAGCACGTTTGCAGATATGAAAATAGGAGACGCTGTGGAATACAAACATCTAGGACACGCATTTCATTCATTCAGCACACATTTTTTGAAGGCTTCTTACACAGCAAGCTCTGTGTCAGCCGTGGAGATTCCAAGATGAGTGTGATAGTGTCCCTACCCTCAAGGAGCCCATCACACGGAACTTGGACTAGATGCAAATAATCACGGCTCGGTACAGTGTGTCCAGTGCTGGGGGGCTCATCATGGAAGTAGGGTTCAATTATGCCTTGGGGACTCATGGAAGGCTTGAGAGGAAGTGGCATTTGAGCAGGGCCTTGAAGGGTCAGGGAACAACTGGGAGAAGAGCCCTCCAGCACAGGGCACAACCTGAGAAAAAGAGCAAGGTCGGTGGGGTGTTTGGAGATGGCTGAGCCCGCAGACCTTAGTATACTGCATGACCCTAAGGTCTTGTTGAAAGGGCCTTCCATCTGCCAAGGAGCATAAAGTTTATCCTGTACACAATTGCCACCAAGATTTCTTAAACAGATAGGGTGCTGTTTTTGTTTCGAAAAGACTAATTCAGCTGGTAGGGTGGAAAGACTGATGGAGAAAGAGGCAGGTGGCAGGAAACCTGTTAGGAGACGGCTGTCATGTTAAGGGTAGAAGAGAAAGGCTCGGAGAAGGGAAAGCTGAGATGTCAAAAGGCATTCCAGAGGAGAAATGATGAATAGAAACGTCAGGTGAGACATGGAGGAAGGTGGGAAGAAGGGCAAAGGATTTCAGGACAGCTCATTTGTGCAGCTAGGCAGATGGCGCTCCCACTAACTGTGGGTTCCAGAAAGACGCCGCAGACCCAAGGCTTCCACGTTCACAGAATAAATCTGTTGCCTGTTTCTTCCACCCTGTGAGGCACTGCAGTATTCTTAAAGGTGTCAACTCAGGGCAGGCCAGTAGGGGGTGCTGTAGGCACTCCTTTCCTTTCTCTGCCCAACAAAGGTGTCTGAAAGATCTGCCAGTCGTCAGTCAGTTCCAAAGGCCAAAGGGAGTCCTGGACAGCTCACATAGCCCCTTTGTTTAGAAAGCTCTCTATATACATGGAACTTAGCACCCCTAGCCAGTCACATTCCCCCAGAGTGGGCACTTGATGGGCCCCAGCTGAGATTTTTGCTATAGCCAAGTAGCCTGGTGGGGTGGGGGGTGGGGGGCGTCCAGAGGGTTGGAGGGGCTTTGGTTGGCCATCCTGACCAGGGACGGATTAGGAACAGAAGGCTCAGCAAGTCTGTGGCATTCACAGTTTTAATTCACAGAGTTACCCAAAGCACATACAGTTGACCTCAACATGACCTCGAGACTCCTCAGAATGCAGGCCACCCTGGAAAACATTTTTGGGGAACCCAACTTGTACTTCTTGCGGGTGCCTGGGCCATACTGTGTGAGGTACTGGAATGGAGGTGATGCGATGGGAGGTGAGAAAGCAGAGTCTGGGAGGCAGTGGTCTGAGAGGACCCGGGCACTGGGGAGGCAGACACACCAGCTTCAAAGCCCAGCTCTACCACGCGCACACTGCCTCAGTTTCCTCCGAAGGTTGTTGTAAAGATGCAGTGAGGTAATGTATGTACATGGCTTGATGCATTGCAGGGTCCAGTCAACCCCTGCAGTTACGGTGACTCTTGCTGTTATTATCATCATCAAGCTTTTAGTGTCTTAAGTTCTGCTGCTTCCTCTTGCTCCAGGCCTGGAACACTCCTCTCCATTCTCTGCTTCCCCTGGGGCCTTCCTCACATTGGGTTGGGCCCCTGCTTCAGGTTCTCATGGCATCTCTCCATATTGCAGCCAAGCAGGACCTCCCATGTCCGGCGCAGTGACCAGTGCATAGTAGGCTTTCAGGAACTGGCTCTGAGGAACCAGTTTTGGAACCACACTCTGATAAGGATCAAGTCACGCCTGGGGGTCCATTTAGGTAACATTTTGGTGACCTCCACATCACGGACGTGTCAAAGGCTGGCATGGGGTCAGACATAGGTTTTCACACCAAACGGTACCAGGAGCCAGAAATCCCAGTTATGTGACAGGGTTGTAGAGGGTGGAGGGGCAGGGAGAAACTAGGGCAGGGACTTCACTGGGCGCCATCACAGTGGTAGAAGGAGAGATGTAGAGAGCTTGCAACAAATCACAGCAGGGAGGACGAACATGAGATTCGGCCCAGACCCAGAGTCGATAGGATTTGGTGACAAAATGACTGGAGACAACCAAGAAGAGGAAGTAACTAAAGATGTGATCCAAGAGGACTCGGAAACGGTGCTTTTCGTTTCTAGTCTTTATTCTGGTTACTATTATTACTTTATTGAATGAGGCAGAAGAAATGAAGCAAAGCAAAGCCAACCGAGAGGCAGGGAGAGAGTCCCAGCGAGCAAGCAAGTCGGCCACGATTTCTTTGTGGCTCTTCTAAGACCCTCCCTTCTGTTCTTGTCTCCTCTCCCTGATCCTTACTCCTTGGTCTGTGATTTCCTCATTAGTAAGAATCTCTTCTTATTCAACTTTGTGCCCACTACATTAGTCATTAATTTGCTTATTCATTCCACAAATATCTATTGAGCACCTCTTACATGCAAAGCAGGGTCCAAGGTCTTAGAACCCAATAAATATGTACTGAATTGATTGTGTCATGATATAAAGTTGGCATGGAGAAGGTCCAGGGGAGGAAACTAGCAGAGATTTTTACTGGACAGCATCTGCAAAGGAAATGTGGGAGACTCATCACCAAGGCCTGTGTTGGTTAAAAGGGTAAAGCACCAGATGGAGAAAACCTGACTCACAGAAACACAGGCACAAAGCCTACCCTGGAGAATGAGGGACTGCCAATATAATTGGGCATTTCATCCAAGAGGGTGAGAATTTTTTCTTTAAATAAGGAATGCTGAAATTAAATGATATACTGAAAATCTAAAGGTATAGATCTATGCTTAAAGCGTCTCTAGAGGAAAAGAATCTGCTGGGTTGTCTCCAGCCCAGCCCCAGCTCCCTCCTGGGCTCCACAGGCACATCCCCATAGCAGAGGACTTCTTGTCCCAGCTCAGTGAGAGCAGTACTTGATATCATCCTGTTCTCTGGGCCCTGACTCCATACTCACCGTGTCTGAGATCATGTTCCAAGTAGAAGCAGTCTGTTCCCGGCATAGGTCCACTTTGTGTAAATTTGGCCCGCATCTGCCTTTCCTGGCACTCAGACCCTCAAGAGCTTTACTACTCAGGGTGTGGACTGGCCTGTGGACCAGCAGGAGCATCTCTTTGGAGCTGTCAAGATATGCAGAATCCCAGAGCCCACTCCAGACGTACTGAATCAGAAGCTGCACTTAGCGAGGTGCTCAAGGGATTTATTTACTTGCACGGTCATGTGCGAGGTGCTGCTGTAGACGAACTGACTCCTGAGGCTGTGGGCTCTAAGAGCTAAGTGGCAGTCTCTCTGGGCACGTGGTGACAGGGATTCCTCCATGGTGTCACCATGAGCCCTTGTGCTGAGTGTAAAATGGAAGCAGAGATCCGAGGTGTGGCAATAAGAGAGAAGAGACAGCTTGGTCCCAGAGTGCAGAGCACTCGCCACCTACGCTCCTGCAACTTCATCCTCACTCCTCTCTGCTCCTCTCTTCTCACTTTGCATTCCAGTGACACAGAACTGCTGCAAATCTTCCCCCACCCCACATCAGCTGTGTCATACTTCTGTGCCCTTGCTCCAATTGTCGGGGGTGTCCCTTTACCCACTCCTTGGTAACTCCTTCAAGCCTCAGTCCAGGGGTCAATTTCTAGGAATGCCTCATTCAGGCAGTGCTAAATGCCTTCCCCATGCGCCCCACTCCTACATCTCAGCAAGGTGACCTCCTCACTATACTGAGCCATATTCCTCACTCAATTCCTCAACAGCAGGGCTATGTCTTACTTTCCATATACCCCAGGATCAGTGCAGTGCCTGCATAATATGGAGTACCTACATAATAGGCATTCAATAAATATTTTTTGTATAGATGGATGGATGGATGAATGGATATTTGTTAAATACAAACAAAAGAAGTGAAATTTCAATGGATGTAGCAGATGTTAATTATCCATTTACTTTTCTGTGTTATTCACTAAACAGCATGCTGCAGGCAGGGACCATGTCTTATTTCTGTCTGCATTCCAAAGACTTAGCAGATATCCTGTAAATAAATGCAGGTTCAACAAACGAATGAAAAAAAAAAATGAATGACATACAGCACAGCACCTAGGAGTTGTGGAAACAAACTGTCGGAGTTGAAATCCTGGCTCTACCACTTGCTAGCTGTGTAACTTGAGCAAGTTACATAACCTCTCTGTGCCTCAATTTCCTCTTCTATAAAATCGTGATCGTAATAGAATCTAGCCATAGGGGTATTATTTATGATTCTTAAATGCAGTAAATTCATGTAAAAAGTGCTTAGGAAAGCGTCGTTGTTGCTGTCGATGTGGGAAAGAGCCTGGCTGGATGGGAACGGTGCTGAGTTCACCTGAAGGTAAGTTAGCTGGTGCCTCAAGAGGCTGAGCCATGAGCTGGGATAAAGCCTCATGCTGCAATACAGTGTCTGGAGAGTTGACGTGGGTCCAGACTCTCAGCCCCAGGAGGGCATGCCCTGTGCCCAGCAAGTACTCATCCATCCACACTCACTCTCCTTCTTTTATGCAGGAAAATGTCACTCTCATCAAGGAAATTAATGAGCTCCGCAGGGAGTTGAAGTTCACCCGCTCGCAAGTCTATGACCTTGAGGCAGCTCTGAAACTGACCAAGAAAATTCGACCACAAGAAGTTCCAGAAGCAGGTAACATTCCCAGTGGCCAGGGGAGATGAGCACTGGGATCAAGGGACCAAAGGTGCCACAACAAGCAGCTGTCCCTTTGGCTTCCTCTATACCCACGGTGTTCTGAGAGCTTTCCATGACACGTGCCTGCTCTGCAAAGGATCCATGAGAACCTTACCACATGCAAACACTCAGAGATCCACGGTCCCTGTTGGAAATCCTTGGGGTTAGCTACAGTTCAGAATTTAGAAAGAGCATGCTACGTACATATTATGTAGCATTCCCGGAGAGGTCTGGGGAAGTGCCCTAAAATCAAACCCATTAGGTTTTCTGTAGTGACATATGAATTTTCTCACTAGGTTTCATGAATTTTAAAAAGCCTTCTATTTTAGATCTTTTTGCATTTTAGAATAAGGAATTGTGGACCTGCATAATTAAAATGAAGGCAGAAAGAAAGGTGAGAAATGATTTAAAGGAAGAGGGGAAAGAATTACATTAGAAATGTTAAATGAATTAGTTACCTCAATTATATCCTAAAGTTCCTCTGAATTTCTGACAACCGAGGCAAAAGGGGAGACAAAGAAATATGATAGTTAATGTAGTTCTCATTGTGTGGTTAAAGGAAGTTTTTTTTCTGAAGAAACAAAACTCTTCCTGGCACTGAATTCTATGAGAAACCTATCACGTGAATCCTTAGGAAAGGAATGTTGAATAACAACAGGCAGTCTTTAACTACAGGCTTTCAGACAATAAAGCAATATTCTTCAGGTGTATATTTATCTGGACAATGAATAAAAACCAAGAGTAAAAGGTATTTCTATGGAAAATTAAGCCATCGTGGTTCAGGTATTTTGTTTTCTGGTGGTCTACATTCAGGAATAAAGCTTAGAGAACTTGATGAATTAAAACATCCCATCGTTACCAATTAGTGTCTTTTAAATGTGACTTGTCTCATGTACTATGGTTATATAAGATATTGTCGCTGGGGGAAAATGGCTGAGGGGTACACGGGAACTCTACTATTTTTGCAACTTCTGGTTAGTCTTAAACTATTACAAATTAAATATATATAAAATTATACATATTTATATATTACCATATGTTTGCGTGTGTACATATATGTATACATATTCTGTGTGTGTGTGTGTGTGTAAATTTGTTGTCTCATGTACCCTTTTAGTTCAGGTTGAAGCTCAGACAAGAGTAAACCCTCTGAGTAGTACCTGAAGTAATGCCAGGTCTACAGGACTGACATGAGGGCACAGCATGTGTTGTAAAGGCTGAGATACTTCTCAGACGTGAAATCATCTTCTCTTGGAGATAAAGCACAGATGTGCCTGTGAACAATTGCAAAACTTCTCTTTAAAAATGTTTCAAATATGCCCAGGCATCCTTACAAATACTGAGTTGGGACCTCCTCAGGATGCTATATGATATAGCCAGGTTCTTCACATTACTATTACAGAAATTTCTGGACATGTACAAAAATAGAGAGAAAGGTCTAATGAATTCCCATGAATTTATTCCCCAACTTCAACAAATGTCAGTGCTTGCCACTCTTGTTTCATCAGTATCTCCCTCCCCACCCAGTTATTTCCTCCCACACCCACCGTGGATTATTTTGAAGCAAACCAAACATCATATCATTTGTGTGATATAGTTTTACTCAAGTAAGATTTTATTTGTAACAATTGAAGACTGGTGTTACCAATTGTCTGTCTCAATCGTGAAGAACCTAAGTATATTTCCTCAAGTTGTTTAAGGAATTGACCAGTTCAGTTAGTTTTTAAGAATTCTTTATCTGAACAGGAGAGGTTGTCATCCCAAACCACTATTTCAGTTTTAGCAGCATTTATGTTGTTTTCATACACACAGTTAACTAACAGAGCTAATAGATACACCTGCTTGTTTTTTAATTCTTCAAACCATATCATTAGAACTTCTGATTAAACATAACTAATTGAAAACCTACTAAAATAGCATAAATATTAACTAACAGAGCTAATAGATACACCTGCTTGTTTTTTAATTCTTCAACCCATATCATTAGAACTTCTGATTAAACATAACTAATTGAAAACCTACTAAAATAGCATAAATAAACCATAAGAACAAAGAAAACACAAAGGGAAACAAAAGACAAAAATTTTGAAAATGGGAAATAGATGGATGAATGGTAACTGATTTCATAAACCCAAAAAACCTGAATCCTAAGCCAAAATTGGGGAAGCTAGAAGAAACCTAAGGTATGCCAAAAAAAATTCAAAAGGCTCTGGAATTATCAGGTGCAGATTATCTCTAGAAGTGGAGGTAAAGGCAGAGCTGAAAACAGGAAGGAAGATCTGTTTAAGAAGCTGTTACATCCACCTAGTATCCAATGCAATCATCATATGGGTCTATTTTTAACCATTGAACAGATTCAATACAACCCTTATCAAAATCTCAATGACTTTTTTGCCAAAACAGAAAAATTCATTCTAAAATTCATATGGAATCTCAGGGTATCCTGAGTGGCCAAAATAATCTTGAAAAAGAACAAAGTTGAAGCTCTCACACTTTCTGATTTCAAAACTTACTACAAAGCTATGGTAATCAAAACAGTGTGGCACTGGCATAAAGACAGCTATGTAGACCAATTGGATGAAATAGACAACCCAGAAATAAACCCTTGCATATATGGTCAAGTGATTGTCAACAGGGCACCAAGACCATTCAGTGGGGAAAGGATAACCTTTTCAAAAAACAGTGTTGGAAAAACTAGATATCCACATGCAAAAGAATAAAGGTGGACCCTTATGTTACACCATATACAAAAATTAACTCAAAATGGATCAAAGATCTAAACAAAAGAGTTAAAACTATAAAACTCTTAGAAGAAAGCATAGAGGAAAATCTTCATGACATTGGATTTGGCAATTATTTCTTTGGTGGATGACACCGAAAGCACAGGCAACAAAATAAAAAATAGATAAATTGGCCTTCATCAAAATGTAAAATGTTCATGCATCTAAGAACACTATTAACAGAGTGAGAAGGCAACCCACAGAATGAAAGAAAAATATTTGCAAATGATATACCTGATAAAAAATTGGTAACCAGAATATATAAAGAAGTCCTACAACTCAACAACAACAAAATTTAAAATGGACAGAGGACTTGAATAGACACTTCTCCAGGAAAAATATACAGATGGCCAGTAAGCACATGTGAAGATGCTCAACATCACGAGCCAGTAGGCAAGTGTAAATCAAAACCACAATGAGCTACTACTTCTCACCCATCAGAATGGCTGTTATAAAAACAAAAACAAAAACAAACAAACAAAAAACAGAATATAGCAAGTATAGGCAAGGAAGTAGAGAAATTGGAATCTTTGTGCATCACTGGTGGGGGTGTAAACTGGTGCAGTCATTATGGAAAACAATATAGCAGTTCCTCAAAAAATTAAAAATAAAATTGCCATATGATCCAGCAATTCCACTTCTGGCTATATATTCAAAAAAACTGAAAGCCAGGAACTCAAAGATGTATGTGTACACCCATGCTTATAGCAACATTATCCACAAATGCCAAAAGGTGGAAGCAATCCAAGTATCCATCAATGGATGGAACGGATACTATGTGGTATATACATGCAATGGAATAGTATTCAACTTTTAAAAAGAAGGAAATTATGACACATGATACAACATGGATGAACCTAGAAGACATTATGTTAAGTGAAATAAACCAGTGCCAAAAGGACAAATATTGAATGATTCTACTTAAATGAGGTTCCTGAAATAGTCAAATTCATAGAGACAGACAGTAGAACGGTGGTTGCCAGGTACTAAGGAGTAGAGAGGCATAGAGTTCGTGTTTAACAGGTACACAGTTGTAGCTGGGTAAGATGAAAAGGTTCTGGAGATGGATGGTGGTAATGGTTGTACCACAATGTAAATGTACTTTAAGCCTCAGAACTATACACTTAAAATGGTGAATTTTGGTTTTTGTGGGTTTTTTTTTTTTTTGTCCTTTTTGAGACCGGCCACACCACACTCAACCAGTGAGTGCTGTGAGCGCACCGGTCATCCCTATATAGGATCCGAACCCGCGGCGGGAGCGCTGCAGCACTCCCAGCGCTGCACTCTCCTGAGTGCGCCACGGGCTCAGCCCTTTGTGGGGTTTTTTATTAGCATATTCATTGTTACAAATCATACTTATTCTTTACACCCCTTATCCAATCTCTCCCCTTCCCCCCTCTACTGACCATGGATTTGTTCTCTCCATCTAATAGATTAACTGACCCTCTGTTGGTTTGTTGCCTAGATGATTAGATGATCTGTCCAGTACTGAGACAGGTGTGATCAAGTCCTCCCCTATTATAGTAAATCATGTGCTGCTTCTATTACTCTGAAGTGTGCTTTGTGGAGAGAACTCTTTTTTTGGCCTCTGCTGGTGCCTCTCCTTGTGAGAGTCTGACATGCGATCTGGTTGCAGCTGGGTTCAGCTTCCCCTGACTCCATGCCTTTTTCTAAGATGTTGTTGCAGAACAGTTGGTGGGGGGAGAACAAGAAGGGAAGGGGGAGGGGAAATAGGGTAGGAAGAAGGGGAAGGAGGGGAAATGTGATCGAGTCCCATGGCCCCCCTTCATTTTGGCAGGAGATGCCAGGGGGCTTCCATTAGCAGCTGGATCATTGCTGGGCTGGATGCAGATGTCAGGGGGGTGTGGCTGAAGCCCTCAGCCCCCAACTGCCCCAACTCAGGAGCCTGGGGCACTTCCCGCAGCAGCTCGGTGGTCATTGCTGGGCTGGTTGCAGATGTGGGTGGTGATGTTGAGGCCCTCAGCCCTCCCTGCTCCCTGGCTTGGGAGTCCAGGGGCCTTCCAGTCCTTCTAGGTCTTATAGGTGTTCTTTGGTGGTGTTAGACCTTTACTAGTTAATGTGGAACTTTGTTACTGATCTGTGGATATTTTGTTTTTTCTTTCAGTTCTGTGTTGGATCATTTACTGTTCTCACCACTTAAACTTTGCACGAGAACTA